CAGGTTCCTGAATGAAAACCTCTTCATCTGCTGCCCCCCCCCCCGTGCCTCATAGTATCTCTACTCTTTTATAAGCACCAAATAAACCAGGATTTGCGCCTTGTCCTCTGCCAGGTGAGCGAGGGGTGGACCTCAGGAAAGGGGCGGGGCTACCTCTGAACACTTCAAATTACTTGTGTTCCTAGAAGATAAGGTCAAAGTCTCTTTCCAATGAAGCTGGCCTCAGAGGTCTCTTTATCTTCTCAAGTGTGACAAATCCCAATTTTATAATAGTCATTTCCTTATCCAACAGCCATTAATCTACATTCTTGCCTGGTGATTGGAGCCTTTGGATTTGCAATTTCCCTCTATTTCCTTTAAAGCCCACAAACTGTTATTTATTTGGCTCAGTATTGGTGGCAACTGGTATCACCAAAGTGATAATGGTAATAATAGTCACAGGATATAACAATAAAAGTGATATTTATTGTGAGTCCGGTGTTTCTCTAATCAGCTGACTCTGTTTCTTCTTTTGCCCTGAGACCCAGGTCAGGCAGCTAGCTGTTCTAATTCTCACTGTGAACTGAGACAGCAGATGCTCTGTGCTGCCAGGAAATGTGGGTAAGTGCTCTGGCCACCCAATCCTGACTAATTCAAGAAGTCATACTTTCAACCTCTGTACCCCAGAATCTGAGCTTTAAATTCTGGCTCAGCCAAAGGAGCAAGGGGGTTGAGCACAGGCCTTGCGTTGTTCCCCTAACAGCAGCCACCAGAGACGCTGTCTTCTATTGGCTACAGTGCACTGCCCATGCCAGGCATGAAGTCTGCTATTTCCCCTACAGTATCCCCACTGCACACCAACGTTGTCCTCTGGAATTCATTATGCACTGATTTGTAGACAATAACAGGGACTCTCACAGAAATAACAGGAAAACTAAACTAATCTGAGAAACAGCATCCAGAAAATGACTCAGAGGATGCTCTGAGTGCGGCGTCCTTCCTGGATCTCTATTTTTGCTACCCTCATTTTTAAAAAGGTGTCACTTTTCTCCTGATGACAATGTCAGCTGCTTCCCTGGGATAGGCAGGGAACTCATATTTCTGCCAAAGGAAGGGGACTTCCCTCCTTGTGGTTGGCAGCTGCGTCCCCTTGGGCACTGTATCTGTCCCACCCTGTTCCTGGTTCCTTGCTGGAAGCCTTGGATACCTGGTTGTGCCTGGGAGCATCCCAGTGGGGTGTTGCACAATCTTTCCCTTCCACAGCTGTCTGCACCGTGGCCTTTTCACAAAACTCGGCCAGAAGCTGGCCTGTCGCTTCTTGCAGAACCCTGAGCCTAAGACCTTGAGACAACACATGGCCAGAATTCTGGGACCGTCTTAGGAGTATTTATGGCTATAGCACTGGATCTGAAGGACCAAGGCCCAGTCAGTGGGTGAACAGCTAGGTTCTCAGTTAATTAAGGTGGGGGGGGGGGCGACTAACAAGCCAACAGGCTAATCTTGAACCCACAGAGCATAAGGAAACTGCACCCCTTTCCAGTCCAGCATACAAAGTCATGCTCAACCAGGCCTGCCATGTAGAAACAGAAGAGAAGAAAACCTTCTTTCTGTTGTTAGATTCTTCTCTGATCTTTTACTAACTGCAGTTCTCTCAAATCTGAATAATGACTAAAGACTCAACATTCAGTCATTGATGAGGAACTTCTTGGTACAAAGCCGGGGTGGACAATGTAGAAGTGAAAGGAGAGAACCAGGCTTCCCTGGGTGGGATAGGGGTGGAGATCACAGAGACAGGAAGGGTGAGATGACGGAGGCTGAGCCCCAAAAGACCTTAGTGAAATGCCAAGCAGGATCTGGAAAGCTGACCCCCATCCTAGCCGACACCCCAAAGGGATGTGGGTGACTGGGTTTGACTACTATGAGCACTTCTTTCTGATAAAGATGGGGACCACTGTGGAACAGAGCAGTAGCCTGGAGAGAGGAAGTGGGGGGGGGGAGAGTGGGGCAAGGTTTAGTCCCCAAATTTAGCCCTGTAGGCACTAAGTTATAATAAGGAAGAAGTTCCATGTGCATGCACAGTATCGTGTCAGTAAATAACGATAATGTTCAGTACATTGCAAAAAAGATAGAAAAACTGTTTTGAACATTTTTACCACAAAGAAATAAATGTTTATAAGACATAACATGCTCATCTGAATTTGAGCATCACGCTGATATTTAAACACCACACAGTGTACAGATGTATCAAAACATCACGTGGTAGTCAATAAAGATGTATGACTTTTATGTGTAGATTAAAATTTGCTATGTAGCCAGGTGTGGTGGTGCATTCCAGTCATCCAGGCACTGGGAAGGCTGAGGCAGAAAGACTACCACTAGTTCAGGGCTAGCCTAGACTACATAGCAAGACCCCATCTCAAAACAAAACAAAGCTTAAATAAATACATATGTGCTTCCTAAGTCAAGTGTGAAGCCTCAGTTGGAGTTTGGGAAGCAAGTAAAAAGAGGTGAGGGGACAAGGTGTGGAGAGGAGAAATGGGAATGGACAGAGACAACAAGAAACACGACAAAGTCCTGCTGGGAGCTCATGGAGATCTTCAGGCCAGCTTAGGGTGTGTATAAAGCTGAGCTTGGGAACCAATACAATACAGAAACACAAGTTCGGTGATATTTTATTTGTGCTCTAATAAATAAAGCTTGCCTGGAGATCAGAGGAAAAAGCCAGCCATTATAAGTAAACATGAAAGTCATGTAATGTTAGCACATGCCTTTAATTCTACCACTTGGGAGGCAGGGATCTGTCTGGATCTATGTGAGTTCAAGGGCCACACTGGGAACAGAGCCAGGCGTGGTGGCACACGCCTTAAAATCCAACACTAGTTAACCATGGAGGTCTGGAGGTCTCTACAGACAGACAGGAAGTGACAGAGCTGGGCAGGAAGAGGAAGTGATGTGGCTAGACAGAGAGAGCAAATCAGATGGCAGAACAGCAAGGCATATAGGCGTGGGCAGACAGGAAGTAACTCGCTTTTGGAAGCTGTGGAGTTGGTGAGGTGAGCTTAGCATGGGGTTGTTCCTATTCCTCTGATCGCTCTCGTGTTTTCACCCCTATATCTGGCTCTGTGTTTTCTATTAATAAGACGGTTTAGAAATTCATCTACACACAAGAAACATCTCTATGTAGTAAAGTGGGGTAATATTTTTAGGCCTCATTTAGATCAAGTGGCCTGGAGACCTCTGGGCTATTTGCTGCTAAAAGTCCCTTAGCATCTTTCACCCTGCTGGGCTCTGCTGGGAGCACACCTCAGTTTCCCTGCCAGCTGCGCGGTCTACCAACAGCTTGCACTAGGGAGAAGACTACAGTCATGTACAAGTGCTGACCTTAGACACAGCCACCTCTCCCCATCTGTCCCATCTCTCCCGAAACTCTGTGCCCTGCGCGCCTCAGTTCCTCATTCAACACAAAAGGAAGAAGTAAAAATCCCTTTTAGAGTCCAGGACAGCCTACCAGGAACAGTGAGGGTCCAAAGACCCAACCTTAAACACCTGAAACTCTCCGTTGCTCACCGGCCCACCTCCATTCTCTGAAGGACGGCTTACTGTGAGGTGAAGTACATCAGAAGTCATGAGGTTAGGGGAGAGAAGTAAGTCAAGAAAACACAGCAGGACAGTACCAGTAAAAAAAAAAAAAAAAAAAAAACCTATTCAACTTCACAGTGACACTGGTTGAAGCAATTTACTAGGTTATTAAATATGCAACACTGTTGTATGCAAATCATATTCAAATATGAATACCAACCTCCACAGAGATAGGCTTTACTTTGCTTTCTCCAGCTTCTAAAGCAAATCCAATTTGGCAAGCGAGAATAGAAAAGGGCTCTGTAGTGGGCTTTTAATGTGTTTATGGAGCACGGCACCTCTCCCCAGAGCCCCAGAGGGACCTTCAGCCTTAAAGTGTCTTGTTCACAAAGACCGGTGTGACCTGGGCATGAGCTAACCCGCAGTGGTGAGCTCAAAAGCATCCCCTCCGGTGTCTCCAGGGCCCTGGGAAGGTGAGTAGCTCCCAAGACTACACGTGAGCCTGGTGACTAAGCTGTGACCTGTTAGCTCCAGAGGCTGCCCACTCGTTGATCTCAGCGGCTCTCCCCATCCCTTCCTTTCCTTGGTCTCTCTCCAACGCCCACCCTGACCCAAGTATTATTTGAATAAAACAATTAAAAGATACAAAGAAGGTCGCGACAGGAAGGAGGTACTGTGTTACTATAAAGTGTGTGTCGGGGGGGGGGGGGGGGGGGGGGGGGCGGTCTCCACGCCTCCTACACAAACACTTATTCATGTTTGGAAACATGTTAAAGTACTTTTTAAAGATTCTTAAGCCTTATGGGAAATAGAAGTTTTCAGGAAAGTGGGGGAGGGTAATAGAGCTTATGGCCTAAAAGCAGTAAAAGGACTACCAGGGGCAGAGGGGACAAAACAGGTAGGAGGGAGGCAGATGGGGAGGAAGTGGGACAGGGGAATCAGCAAAAACGAATTTCCATAGGGATTCCATTATGAAATCTGCTCCTATGTCAGTTTTAACCTATTGTTTAACCTCCTGTATGTTAATTTTAAAAGAAAGGCCATTAGGGCTGGGGAGATGGACCAGTGGTCAAAGTGCTTGCCCTGAGGATATAAGGACCTGAGTTTGGATCCTCAGTGCCCACATGAAAACAAGATGGGTTTGGAAGCATCGGTTTATAGCTCCAGAATTTCAGGGAAAAAGGCAAACAGATCCCTGGGGCTGGTGGCCAGCCAGGTTCAGCAAGAGACCCTGTCTCAAAAAATAGGGCGAGGAACCAATGAGGAAGACACATTGACTTCCTCCCTCCATGCACACACACACACACACACACACACACACACACACACAACACGAAAACAAACAATAACAAAGCCCATGGGTCTACCCACGGAAGCTACCATTCCCACTCCATCTGGAGCGAGCTCCTCTCAGCTCTCCACTACAGGCCTTGGCCACCTACCCGAGCCGGAAAGAACCAGAAGAAGAGGTTGCTGTTGTAAGTCCTATTCACCGTGATGTAGCCGGCATAACTCTTCAAGTTCATTCCAGGGTAAGGACTGACCTCGCTCTTCCTTTGCGCTGGGGAAGAGAAAGAAAATGTACCCAAGGATTAGGAGAACATGCTCCACGAGGCTGCTCAGGCTGGTGGAGACCACCTATCCTGACCACCAGGCCAGGATAAGAAGCCAAGAGGAGGCTGGCCGGCATGAGGAATACTCACAACTACAAGTTCCAGCCTCCTCCAGCTGACCCCATAGGTTCCCCACTCACAGTGAGGCCAAGGTCAAAGGGAAGCTGTGAAGGGGGGCAGGATCGGAAGGGGGCCAGGATCCAGGTCTTTGCAGCTGTTTTGTTGTTCTGTTTTGTTTTGTTCTTAAGAAAAGGAAATTACCAATCATCTCTATCACTTTAGTACCTCAGGTGTTTCTACTGCACCCATTGAATGGGCATGAGGAAGGGTACAGGGAAACAAACTAAGCAGAGGGAGTCTTGGGGCAGCCTCTGGGCCTCACCTTCTTGCTGTTAGGAGCACAAAGTCTGCTGGCCTCTTAAGGATGAGGTCTGAGGGGCTCAGAGTGGCTGGAGAAAGGGTGTTGAGCCTGGGGCGACCTCATGGCTACAAAGTGGAACAGGGACAGTTGAAGAAGGCAGAGGCCCTGGATTTCTGATGGCAGCCAAGGGACAGGAAAGGAGAAAGAGGACATGTTCAGCCAGCTTTGGGGGCCTTAGACTAGATGATGGTGGTGGAAGCTAAGATTTACAAGGCTCTGACAAAAGAGACGCATTGGAAGGAGAGGGAACGTGCCCAAGGTCTCCCAGCAGTAAAGAGGAACTGAGGCACACACACCCCAGCAGCCGCAGCCTGGCTGCCAGGCTCCTCCTTTCTGCCTCCCGAAGGTGGCTGCCCTGAGTCGGGGTACAGGCAACAAGGAATGGGAGAGAAGTAGCGAAAGGAACAGGGTGGGAAGAGAAGAGAAAGTGGGTGTTGGGCAGCAGAGTGAGAGGAAGGGAACTCAGGGAGGAAGAGAAACGGCCTTCAGTACAGACTCAGTCCAGAATGGTATTTCAGTCTGAGATATATTAAATTAGAGAATGCTTAGGAGGTCAACATGCCATCAACTAATGATACCCACTGTGGTGGGCATCTCTCTCAGCCCAGCACCCAGCTATGGTGATATTTTATTTGTGCTGAAATGTGATTCTATTTGTATGTTAATAAATAAAGTTGCCTGGGGATCAGAGCGAAAAGCAAGCCATTTAGCAGAAGTCCGGCGGCGGTGGTGGCATGCGCCCTTAATCTGATCACATGACAGGCAGAGTCTCTGCGTAGTCAAGGACACAGCCAAGTGGTGACCCTAACCTTTAATCCCAGTACCAACCATAGAGACCTGGAGGTCTGTTTAGACAGGCAGTGATGAGGAAATCATGTGGTTGGATTTAGAGCCAATGAGAAGGTAGAACAGAAAGGCAATAAAAAGACAGGCCACACAGGAGAAGGTCTCTGTCTCAGGAGAAGGATGGCAGCGAGTGGTAAGCTGAAGGGAGTCTTGGCTCTTGTTCTGATCTCTTAGGTTTAACTCTGTATTTGGCTCTGTGTTTCTTACTTACTAAGACCGTTTAGAATGTCATCTACACCCAGCCACATCACTGACAGAGCAAAGAAATCTACCATAGTAAGAGTATTCAATCCCAAAGGGAGTGATGGAAAATCCAGGGCCCTTCTCCCACATAACTCCAGCTCAGTGCTTATAGCAGGTAGGAAGGAGAAGACTTGCAGCCAGGCTGCAAATGCTGGGGTGTGTGTGCCTCAGTTCCTCTTTGCTGCTGGGAGACCTTGGGCATGAACCCCCAGGACCTACAGAAAAACTCAGCTTATGTGATGGGTGCTTGCAATCCCAGTGCTAGGGAAGCCAAGACAAGAGGACTCCCGGGGCTTGCTGACCTTCTGGTTTAGCCAAATCAGTGTGTTCCAGGCTCCAGGCTAGTGAGAGACCGTCCCAAAGGAGGTGGACACCATTACTGAGGATGACACCCAACATTGTCTTTTGGCCTCCACACTAAGGCACATATGGACACATGAGTACATACACACAGGGGAAAAGGGAAAGAAAAAGAAGCTTGCTTGCACAGAGCATGGTTACCATTGTCTTTAAAGTGCCAGTGGGGATGGAGGCCAGGCAGCAGCTGGGGGAAGAGACAACGGTGGGCAAAGGCTGGGTCTCAGTGGGAAGTGGACTGAGGGTCCAGCTGGGCTAGCTTGTTAGAAAGCTGGACTTTTTGGTCAGACAGACTTAGTTTATAATCCTAACTCAATCCCTCACTAAGTCACTTCCCTCCAAGACTCTTTCCGTGTGGGCCAAACGTGGGCACTGATTGCTCTACTGGAGGCTTTCCGTGAGGAAGGACAAAGAGTGCTTATCAACATGCCTGGGAGGGAACCTGACAGAAAACAAGATTCTGGTCTCTAGGAGGTGGGTCTCCTTAGCCCCTGAGAAGTTACCCCTAAAGGAAGCATAGCAGTCTGGGAGTTTTGCCTTTTTTTTTTTTTTTTTTTTTTTGGCAGGATTGTTTAGTCCAAGTCCCATAGTTCTGCCTACTCTCTTGCCAGGGGCACTTGTCCCTCTTGTGTCTGAATGTCCCCACCAAAACTCACGTTGGGTATTGAATACTCATTTTGAAGTATCAGAAGAGCAAAAATTCAGTATTTGAGAACTGGGCTTTGGTGGGTGATGAATTTTACTTGTACCATCAGGGCGGGTCCCTGATCCAATAGGGCTGTGGCTGTATAAGAAAAGAAGGACCGCCGGGCAGTGGTGGCGCACGCCTTTAATCCCAGCACTAGGGAGGCAGAGCCAGGCGGATCTCTGTGAGTTCGAGGCCAGCCTGGGCTACCAAGTGAGTTCCAGGAAAGGCGCAAAGCTACACAGAGAAACCCTGTCTGGAAAAACCAAAAAAAAAAAAGAAAAGAAGGACCTAAGCCAGCACCTTCTGTCTCTTCACGATGGCCTGTGCTGTTTCGGGGTTCTACGAAGCACCCATGCCCAGAATGATCTCACCAGAGCCGGCCTCCAGTCTTGGGCTCTGCAGCCTTCAGAACTTCAAGCTAAATTAACCTTCGTTGTTTATAAACTACTTGGTTTGTGTGAATCAGTTACAGCAACAGAGAATGGACTAACACCTCCACCCCAAAAATGACAAAGGAAAAAGGAAAAGGATTTTAAGAGAAAGAAAAGAGAAGTGTCTGAGGAAATGTGATGTTTTCTGACTGTGATGGTTTGAATAAGAATGGCCCTCATAGGCTCCTGTATTTGAATGCTTAGTCATCAGGGAGTGACCCGATTTGAGAAAGATTGGGAGGTGTGGCCTTGCTGGAGGAAGTGTCTCACCAGGGGTGGGCTTTGAGGTTTTAAAAGCCTGTGCCATGCCCAGCCTCCCCCCTCCCCCCCCCCACTCTGCCTGCAGACCAGGTTGTAACTCTCCATCATCATGTCCTGCCTGCATTCTGACATACCATGGTGATAATGGACTAAACCTCGGAAAGTGTAAGCGAGCCCCCAGTTAAACATTTTCTCTTATAAGAGCTGCCTTGGTCGTGGTGTCTCTGCACAGCCGTAGAACACTGACTGAGACACTAGGCTTGCCTCAACGCTCACTCTTCCCTCCAATTGTCATTTTCTTCCTCTCCTTCTGCTCTCAACGAAAGAACATTGCATGCCAGAGTTAGAAAGCCCCTCCCTGAAACAAATCTATTAATCATCTCAACGTCAAACAGACAGACATCCATTCCCCAGAAAGAATGACCAAGAAGTAAAAACTGAAGGCTGGAATGGGTAAGGTACAATCCAGAGAGAGGTAATGGGTAGGACAAGATGATAGAAGACAGAGAAAAATGAGAGAGGTCAAAGTCCAATGAGAAAAAGAGAAAATATATAATAGAAAGGAGCTGGAGGGAATGGGATATGGGCGAGAGATGATTGGATCAATCTGTCTCGAGACCAGCACTGCACAGGGTGGTTCTAGATTGATGTGGCTGCTCAATTCTCCCTCCCCTTAAGAATTCCTGGGTTGCATCTCTACTGACTTGTACGTAGGCATGTCCTGTCCCTTTTCTCTTCCAGCAGGAGCCATAGGGAGGCAAGGAATGTGTCTTACTTTATCTCTGAACCCCTGGGACTTAGCATGATAGTTCACATACTTAAGACACTCCATAGATACTTTTTAATGAATGAATCATAACAAAGGGGCAGATGAAGAAATGATGGACAGCCACGGACACTACCTTGGGATTAGCATCATCCTACAAACTCCTCTGGAAAACAGACCTTATCAATATCTTAACAAATTTTGAGGACCCCTTTTTAATGAAAGAGTGTTTTTGCCCCATTTCATAGTTTAAATTCCTATTCACCCACTCACAGTAAAATAATCAAAGTTCCCTCAACTAACATGATTTCTAAATATGTTTGAATGTGTCTTTCATCCTTAGCCCAGAGTCAGCTGTTAATTAATAATAAGTCAGCTGTTTTTGTTTTGTTTTTTTGTTTTTGTTTTTGTTTTTAAAAAAACAGTTAAAGAAGGAAAAGGTTTTCTTTGAAGTCATCTCACTTCCTCTTTGCTGTTTACTGCTGTGGCCAGTGTTTGTGACATTAACACTCTGAGAATAATTGAAGTGTGGCCAGTAAAGGGTTGAACCAGCCAACTGGGGTACACAGTAGATCCACAAACACTTCAGCCACCCCCAGTGTAGACAACACACTTTCAGCCCACAAGCAACAAATTAAGAACCAGCAGCAAACATCCTTTGGAATTTGTAGAAATATAGTGTTTGTAAAGAAGCTAAAATTTGCTCTCTGCCTTTTATTCCAGAATGTAAGGATTTATTTTAGCCTCAGAGAAAGCAAACATGCAATTACAATTACATAAAATTAAGCTAGCTAATTGGGTATTAAAAAAATTAAAATTCCCCTTGTCTTTCTGTGAACTGCTGTTTATCTCAAAAATGTTCCATTGCGATGTTAGGACTCCCATTCCTGCAGCTTTGACAGACTTCATTAACAACAGGGATTTAAAGAGGGAGCTGGCCATCTGTCCACGGCTCCCCGAACTTTCAGGAAAGCGGATGAATAAAATTATCCTTAATTATGTTGTCGGGCAGCATCTGAGTCCCCAGATGTGCCGGCTTTGGGATCCACCATTCAAATTCCATTCAGCGATTCTGAGTGTGAAACACACTTTTAGAGACGGAAGTTGCCTATCAGTCAGTCCGTGCCTCACATTCAGGGGACGAAGATCTGCTGGGCTTGCCACCAAAGGACTAAAGACCAAGCTTTCTCCCTAACTGTGTATGCCCATGATGGTGGAATGCTCCTAGGCCAGAGAAGCCTCGAGGGAGGGATGGGGATGACCCTTTGCTTGGATGGATTCCACAGTGTTCTGTTCACTCAGTTCTGCCACAGAGGGTACAGGCATGCGATGGTTTCTCCACTTAATGCATCTGCTTAGCTGTCTCCTAATTCAGTGTGCACAGAGACCCTTCTGGGGTCACCCATATCGTACCCACAACCTTGAGTCAGGAGACGGTCATATGGCACAACAGTTCATAGTGTGGTTGGTAGGCAAAGGTTATGATCTCAGATCTGCCACTTTCTGGTTTTATAGCTCTGGGCAAGGTACTTATCTTCCTAGAACTTTGGTTTTCTTGTCTACGCAATGGGAACAATAATTATATGTTCTTTATTAGGGTGCTCTGAAACCTACATAAGCTAATATATGGAAAATGTGGTTCCTGGCACATGATTGAGACTCAAATGTAAATTGCATAAGTATTTACTAAGTGCGTACTGCATAAAAATATTGTGCCAAGTATTAGGAAATAATAAATAAATATTATTAATCATTGTTTATTACTTATTTTAATTCATTTATTATTTTAATTGTTTATTTATAATATGTACTTTATTTGTAATTTATTGGTATTTTATCATTAATTATTTTCACTATTATTATTATTTTCTGCCTAGATTATATCAATAGCATCCCTTCTCGAACTTTTGAGCATACCTACTGTGGATGTAACACTTCAGCTGCATTCCTTAATTGGTTCCCATGTATTAGCACATCTATTTCAGAAGACCACAAGCTTCTTAAACGAAAGAAAATAGACTACAGTAGGCAAAGCAGAGGGCAGAAGCCACAAGATCTGAGCCCCACCGTCTTCTCTGTTCCCAGCCTCCCCTTCGGGCAAATCCAGATGCCTGAGTCTCCTTCCTTGCATGAGGCTGGGTAGGACTTGGCTGTAATGACCTTAACCCCCTTTCAGCTAGACATCAAATGATTTTCTCTGACTTCTTGGTAATGAGATAAATCTGTGCCTCCGTCTGAAGTCACTAAGGAAGCTGAGCTGAGTGGGATCTGGCTTTGTGGGGTTGGGTTGCTGATGTGTTTCCTAGTTGGATACATCTTTAAGAACCAGCCCATGTGGCCAGGCAGCGGTCTTTCTGTGAATTTGGTGCAGAAAGTGAAACTGAATCCCCTTTTTCTATATTCTGATTACCCAGTGAAGGCTTTTTCACCTCCCTGCAGCAAGAAGTTGGCAAAATCTAGAGCTGAGGCAGATTTCATGGAGAAGCACTGAAGGTAGGCTTCAACCCCTCTGCTATTAAAGAAAACGAAAGAGGTCATAACTCGTGTTGGACACTTCCAATGAGGAAACTCCGCTTTATTTTAAACTTCCTCATAGAGTGTTTAGACTTACTTTCGGTCTTTGAAAACATTATTTCCCTGAAACTTCTGGTCTCATCCACCCTCAGTCCCTCATCTGCGTCTCTCCCACTCAGTCCCCTCCAGCAGCTCCTCAGACCGCACCTCACCCATCCCTTCCTTCAGCAAACACTCACTGTCTGTCTCCTCTGCTTACGACCCTCCCTGGACTCTTTCTGGCCACCAGCCCAGGCCTCTGCTCCTTTGTACAAACAATTCCTCAAAGCCAGAGCCTGCCTGCGCACTATTTGTGGCTCAGGGGTCAACTGGGTTCCCAAAAATGAGGTTCTTTGTGGCCACAGTGACTTCCCTAAGCACCAGGACGGAGTAAGAGCAGATGCAAACATACGCTTTGGTCTAGTAACACCAAATGGAAGGAGCTTCTTCCTGTTAACTGCAAGGTATTGACCTCCGGGTAGTCTCTTAATGACGCCTCTGCCAACACTAAGATTTGTGAAGAAATTTACAGGGTATGGGGAGTCTTCTAAATTTTTTTTCTCGCTAGATTTCCCTGGCACTCTTCCAAGTTATGTAAGAGGATAATTAAACCTGCATCGTCCTAACAAGGAAACTGAGGCCTGGGCTGTGGATAACTCACCAGGTGAGAGGCACAGCAGAGTGGGTGGAGGGAAGCCCTGTGAATGTGGAGCCCTCACCTACCAGCTGGCGGGCGCCTGTGTGAATTCTGGCAGGGCCGTGGACCTCCTACTTCAGTCTTCCTGTGTGGACGGACACACCTTGCTTTGTTGAGGAGCGTGAATGTCAACATTCACAGATGGAAGGTGCAAGGGTTGTAGTGGCTTCCTCAACGCTGTCCACAGGGAGACAGTCACTGGTTTTGTAAAGAGGAACGCTGCAACTTAGCGACATCAGTACTCCTTCCCTAACCACCTCATTTTAGCTCAAAACTCAGATAACACATGGCACCAAGCCTTTAGTGTTTGAAGTAAAACTGAATGAAAATGCCAACAAGTGTTTTGCATCTTGGGGGGTAGTTGCTTTTAAAACACCATTGAAAATGTAGCAGCAGTTTTTGGACACTTACCCAGCTTGATCTTCCCAGCTTGGATATAAGGGCTAAGAAACAGAGGCCAGCCTGCGTTTCCCTTGAATGGCGGGGAAACAATGGTGCTTCGGTATATGGAGCGAAAGAGTCCGTCACCAGGGCTGACCATAAACAGGACCAATGAGACAATCACCTTCCACATGGTGCCAACTGTTTCTTGGCCTGGGGTGAGAGCGGTAACATTCCACACATGAGTCGAAAGTCGGTGTTTGCCTATCCCCTTTACATGCAAGAAATCCTTTTGTTTACTAAAAGAAAAACAAACAAACAAACAAAAACCCTTTTCTGTTGTGTATAAAAGGAGTTTGCTGAGCACCGTGGACATCACCGGGAGCTAAGTAAGGCCCACCCAAACCCTGTTGATCCCAACCTCAGCTACCTAGAGGAAGATTCTGTAAGGAATTTCCAGTGTACCTGGAAAGCAACTGTTACATTTAAAAACTATGGCCTGGAAAATAAATTCAGTAGAGAGTCAAGTAATGCTGGGGAGCAACCAGGGCTCTAGAAATGGCCACTGTGTAAGTGGTAGGGACCATTCCAGCACTGCAGAATTGCAGGGCATCTGGTGCCCATTTCAGGAGGGGATGACCTAGGGAGTGCTCCCCAAGGTGACTGGAAATGAAAGGGGGTTGAACTCAGGTCTATGGGAGCAACAGGAAAAGCGCGCGCGCGCACACACACACACACACACACACACACACACACACACGCACGCACGCACGCACGCGCTACCAAACATACAGAAGATGGCTTAAGCATAGGGGAGACCAAGGGTTTCCAGTGCACTTCACAGGAGAATTTAAAATAACCTATAGGTTTCTTCAGCATTGCTCTGTCTCTTACAAATCACAAGTTTTATATCCAACAACAAAACAGAAAGAAGGGATGGAGGATCCTATAACTACACCCAAGTCCCTCTGCTCATTGTCATCTGATAAATAAACTTAAGGAATTAGGCCCCACAGGGCACATGCTTGCCTATAGTCTTAGTGGCTGGAAGTTGGGGTCAAAAGGATCAGACATTCAAGACCATCTCTGACCACGTAGTGAGTTGTCAGCCAGTGTAGGGTATGGGAGAGTCTGTCTCACACAGCAAACAAAAAGTTTGGGTGTGAAAGGGGCAGAGAGATGATTTAGATGCCAAGGGCTCCTGCTACTCTGATAGAAGACCAGAGATTGGTTCCCCACATTGGGGACTCACAACCTCTTGTACCTCCAGATCTGTGGATCTGATGCCCTCTTCTGGCTTCTGTTGACAATTGCACACAGGTGCACATACCCACATACAGACACATGCACACAGACAGTTAAAAATAAAAACAAATCTTTTTTTAAAGAGAGAAGAAAAAGGAGAATATTAGCAACAAACTTTAAATGGGATTTTTGCTGAGAGCATGCTCACAATGGCTTGAAATCATGTTATCTGCCATCCAGACTTTACATAAACACATAAATTGCGTCGGCAGTGGGCCTTCCTGTATATTTTTAATGTGTTTTTAATCTAATTTAAATAGCCTAATAACTCCACCAGAAAGGCAAGAAGGAGTCACATCAAGGTTAGCTAATAAAACTGGACTTGATATGTTGTCTCATGTAAGGACCTGAAGGTAGAGAAGCCAGGGCCTGACTTCAGGGACCCTGGATATGTGGGGATACATGAAGCTCCTGTGAGGTGTGGTCAGAGGCTGTTCTCATTTAAAATCTTGATTTATTTCCATCATAGTTTTTTTTTTAATCATTATATGGAGTTCTTGGTTGATTGCATTAAAACACAGTTCTCCTGATCGCTGGGCTTTCGTCACTGCCTTAGTCTTGCACCTGAGGCAGATGTCTCTCGGTCACACCTTAACCCCACCCTGCCTCGTGTGTTACAGGAGCTGCACCTGCGGCACCTGCCTCCACACCACCGGCACTTAGGCATGGTGGACAGCCTTAGTTCTAAATTCTGATTTGGGTAGTTTTCTTTTAGAGCTGGGGATGGAACCCAGAGCCCTTCACTTGCTAGACAAGTACTCTGCCACAGAATCATAACCCCAGCAGCTAAATTCTAAACAAAATACTGTGCAGTGAATAAATACCCCCATTCACTCAGGTTTCTGATTACAAAAGGAAATATACAATTATGCAAATACCATGCCTGATTTTGATTTTCAGTGCTTGAAAACGTCAAACCATTAGAACATTTTAAAAATACAAAATGTGTACAAACCTATTAACCACATGTTTAACATAACCCAATTTAGCGTATTACAAAATACTGGGTTGTGGCAAATTTTAAAAGCTTTTCAGCAACATTTTCTTATTGAGGTAAGGGTTTATAATCATAATTTGATTGAATATATGACCCTTGTCATATCTCTCAGGGTTAACTTAATAGAATTCTCTATGCTTAATGTAAATAAGCCCATCTGAATATAGTACATAGCTAAAAATGATTTTGCCTATTATTGACTATAATAAAGAACCAAATGAATTTAGAAATTGAAATTAAGTTCTCAAGAGACCCAAGGGTAATGGCCACTATGGCACTGTTAAGATATTGTTTTTAATTATGTAAATTTGTTACACCAAGGCTTTAATCACATAGCTACTTTCAGAGAATGCCTGAAATCAACAATTCTACTCGTTCTGAAAAGAGAAGCACAGTTTAAAAAAAATAGTAATAATAGAAGAAGCTCTTCCAGGAAGAGGGTCCCCTGGGGTAGACACAAAAACCCACCCTGTTGTCTAGTTTCCCTGTCTCCCAGCACCAGGCCTCCAGCCTGCTTAATGGCACCATTAATATTTAAACAACCACTGAAGTCACAGCATCGCCCCAGAAAGCAGAACTTCACTCAACGATTAAAAAAAAAAAATAGGTGCGAAGGGGCTTGTTTTAATTGACATAAATTTAGTACACAGAAGTAAGAGTTAGGTCAATTTAGCAGGGCTCATTAACATTTAATCAAATAACCGCTGGAGTCATGGTTTTCCACGTCAGTGAATTAAGGCAACAACAGACTTCATTCCACAGTTCTCGTTTAACAGTCAGAATTCCACAACTACTCAGCTGTCATCTCTCCTAAGGGAAATGAAAACCATTAACAGGAATGGAGGAATGAAAAAAACAAAACAAAACCAACCTTCTCCGATGCTTTTGCTGATCCTACGTTGGACTAAATCTCTCATTTATGAAACACTGGGCACTCTCTGAGTGAATAAACCTATCCTAAACAGAAGCTGTGACTCACAGAACATAAGAAAAGAAAAAGAAATCTACTGACCACACATTTCATCAAGCCTACTTGAATGGATATGAAGGGCAGAGAGCAAGCTTCAGTCTAAATATGTCATAGCGAAGGGTTCAGGGAAGATGGCCTCTTAGTGATCAGAAACACAAACTCTAGGTGAATTCCAGCCATATTAGTAGCATCAAATCAAGGCAGTTCAAGAGTATGTGCTTGCTACAACCACTAAATATTACTGTTAAGAGTCCAAGTGTCATACAATGTTTATATTAAACAAAGCTATCTACGCCACTGTTCTTTAGGATAAGAAAACAACACACTACATCTATAATAACGCACCAGATAACCAAGTTACCACTCAATAAAGTTGATATAAACAACAACTGAAATGATTAAAGAGAACACTCTGGAAATATGACAAAGTATTGGGTCAAGAAAAGTAAACCACTAGACTAGATATAGGTATTTTCTCCTTGTTTTATACGTTTTACAAATTTCTAAGTTTTCTACAATAATTAATCTTATAGATACAAAAGGGCAGTTTTTCTGATAATTTGATTTTCCTTCAGACAAAATGAAGCAACCGATAGACATGACAAAACCAGGGGGCTTGTTCCTTATTCCTCATTACTACCTGGTTATGACCTCTTGCGTTTCCTAGGAATAAGGTTCTATTTGTTCTTTTTTCCTTGAACATTCTATGAAGATGTACCCTGATCTAAAGTCACAGAACTTCAGAGGCTCAAAGTGAGGTTTTCCTTGGTAACTTAGAAGGATCTGGAAAAAGGTGAAATACTGTTGTCATTCATTATTATGATATTTGTATCTGGTTCTGATTAGAGTCTGTAACAAATATGTACGTGAGCATCACTAAGCAAACGTGTGTGAGACTGATGGATCTAAAGGGACCCAAGGTATTATAGACCTACAGAAGACATTAAATGTTTACATGATCTGAGTTAGGTGTTTGATGGGGTAGAAAACCCAAGCCTGACAACAAAATGGACCTGATCAGAAGGATCCCATAATCAGTGAGTAGTGGGGCCAAGACCCAAAGCCAGGATTTACTTGCGATTCTGAATCTAGCAGCTTTCCACTGCTCCCATCTTAGATCATTCATATTCTGACTCTAGTCTCAATAAACACCAGTCTTTAGCCTGTGCCAGTCACAGATTGTTGAACAATACACAGACAAGAGATAGATGGAATATGGGGAGGTCAGTCTTTCTGGGGAAGGGCTGCCACCGTAACTCATGGACCTTGGTAAGATAGCAGCTTCCCTGTCAGTGTGGCAGATCATGACCAGGACAACTGTTAGTTACATCTTCAGGAGCCCTGAGAGGCAGTTCTCTAACACAGATACTTCTTTTAAAAATCAAATTACAAAACTATATCATGGAATGAGTTTTATCTTAAAACAAGTTTAAAAATTAACCTCCCAAACTTAACACTTTTGGTTATTTTACTACTAACTTCAGTTGGGAGTCGTGTTTTTTTTTGTTTTGTTTTTTGTTTTTTTAATGTGTCTGGTGGGCAGTCTATGTGAAAGCTTCCCTCATGCGTCTTTTTCCAACTGTGTTCTTTTTTTTTTTTTTCCAGCTGTGTTTTGTAGATGGGGAGAGCTTGGCATCGGCCCTGACAGTAGTATTTACACCAGAGAAATCGGCAGTGTCTCACACGAGGTCTCCCTCTCCATGCAGTCCACTGCTGTAGAGTCTTCTGTACATCATTATCTGTAAAGTGAGCTGGACCCTACTTCTCATCAGCTCCCACTCCAATCTCCACCAAAGTGGCCGGCAGAAGGGACATGAAGGAAGTCCTGCTCAGTAGCCCTCCGTGCATTTGAGCAAGAGTAGAGTGCTCAGTCCGGAAGCCTCAGGAAAAGAAACCCAAAAAGGCCACTTGAGAGTGTTCACTAGTGAGAAAGAGATACAA